GGACCGGAATAATAAACACGCCAAGGTCAGGGGTCAACAGGTTGCACTTACCTCACTCTGGAAATCGCAAGGATAATTCGCATTGTAAACGCTACGTGCGAGGGACGGGTTAGCTCGATATAAAAAAACATTTTAAACTATGATTTTTTTTCAGACTTTTCGATCGTTTACATCATGCTCCAATTTCAAACGCCTACGTGGTAACTAGATTCATGTCACCCGATTCCACGTGAAACCAGAGGCAAAAAACTAGAGGCAAGCAATGTCATGAAAGTGATGTCACTTCCTCCAACGGCATGTTTTCATTCGGATCAATCCGAAAAATATATGAATTTCCTGAAACTTCATATCCAGGCCCGATTTTTTTGTATTTCAAACGGATTCATCTGCTATTTGGAGAGACGTCCCTAAGGCGTGCATTGTAACTGCTAAGAGCTGTCGTCCACACAAGCAAGAACTGCGACTGGTGAATCGCGAAATTCCTCCGCGTCGTGCTCGCTAATTTATTAAGGGATTTGCCTCGGAGAAGGGCAGGTCTCCGAGGGACGGCTGGCCAATTTTTTTTCCCGAGAAAAACCGTGGGAAAAAAATAGATTCCCATCAATTCCTCCGATTCAATCGCACTGCAACTGCGGAACTATGTTCATGGGCACGGTGATAAAGAAACGTTGTCATGCACACACCATCCCCGGATGGAAACAAAATAACAAACAGATCGGATTGAGACCGTTACAAATAGCTGACATGAACCACTGCTGCAATTCCCATTTCCAACAAACAGCTTAAACCTCAACGAGTTTCCAAACCGCTTTGATTACGAGCTGCTTCGCTGCACTTGACATGGCATATTATTTTCAAATGGCTTCTGGCTCTCGCGCAATGTCTTTTTTTTGCACGTAACTTTAAGGGAATCTTCACCGAACGGGATGAGCATGAGATGTCGGCATCTATATCCGGCGAGAAAATTAGGTAACTAACCAGGTGAGGAGCACAAACATGCAATGAAAACGGCAATATCTGGTGCCTTAGTACCATAACGAACGACGGTAGCAACAATTGCATTACCGCGTACAATGCGGCGCTCTCCAATCACAATCATTCACGTCCTTGTCTCCCAATAAAATTGTTCTATTTTTCAACAAAGACACCTTACATTTATAGATATACACATTTCCCGTTTTTTATTATGCGGTATAGTATTTTTTTTTAGCTCTCCTTTTCCCATCCGGGAAAATTTTACAGCAAAATGTTGTGTTTGAGATGTTAAAACTTCATGTCCTTCATGGAAATTCGGGCCACGTAAAATGGCACAATCACGGACCATCGCCTAACGGCACAAAGTCCACAGCTTCAGCAGGAGACTCCACACAGGAAAAAATAATTTCTTCTGATTTCAAATCTCGGCCACTTAAAAAAATTAAATATCACCCCGTGACACTCCCCTCTGCTGTCCTCCCCCCGGCATTCGGAAACACATTTGCTTGCTCGGCCATGGCGCAAAACATAATTACCTTTATATTGAGAATTGCAGCCAGGTGAGAGGTAACAAGGATGTAAAGAGGTTAAAAATATATAAAGGTTAAGGTCAGCAGAAGTGGTAATTCAAACCCACAACAAACCTCGAGGCGACCCAATGCATTAAAGAAATTTGATTCGATTCAGGAATCAATTGTTATTGTTTTTATATGATGAACAATGCAATGGCAGCCAGTGACTATAGGAGTCGGGTAAAGCCAATACAGTCCAGACAACATTGAAGGTAAAAATAAAATGTGCAACCCTGCAATTCCTCGCTCAAGCTGGCCAGACTTCTTCAAAATGGCCCGCTGGCCAACTCACTGTGGTGTTCACCCAATTACACTGCTGGATTGGTGGACAGGGGCACGGGGGATTTATGAACGCATTTTCCAATCGTTTCAACTTCCGCGCCGGCAAATGGAACCGACCGCTGTGGTAGCAGCATCCGTTACAGTCTTCCTTCGTTATTCACCAACTTGCTATCCACGATTTTGGGTATGCGCGAATAGCATCTGGATCTCTACACGACTGCATGGAGAGAGAGAGAAACTAAGTGATGAGAGATAAAATAATGAGATAAGGTTAGTTCATCCATTTGGCACAGTTGGCTACGTACCGTGCAAAATAAGTGCAACATACAGTACATAAATTACCAACTATAATTTAATATTTTAAAATGTTTATTTACTTTGTTTATTATAACCAATTGATATTGGTTTGTGTTATGATAGTTTCCATGTATTTAAAAGATTATTTACGTATTTATTTAAGATAATTCGTTCAAAAGAAAGTTTATTTCGTATACCAATATAATTATCTCGCGAATTTTCCTATTCACGAGCGTCTTTGGGACGTATCCCTCGCGAATAACTTTACAACATTTTGAATGAACCAACACCAATTCTTACGCACACCACTCGATGCTAGAAATCGACATGTATAGATATATATGAATCTATGGCTCGTTATTATACATCTCCCGGTCAGTTGGCTCAGGGAGTCACGAGAAGCCATCGCATACAAAATGTACCCAATTGAAAAAGATCGATTCTCACACTTGCGATTCCGTGCGAATATCGTGAGCTTAAGAATCAATATTAATCAATTAATGTATGCCGACATTACACCCTAGCTTGTCGCAATAGGTAAAAGATACAAGGAATACGCAAATCTAACCCACTGCAAGTGACCAGCCGATTGAAAATCCATTTTTAATGATGTGTGGACATTCTGATTGGCAAGTCCAATTACGAAAATTAACAACTCCAGGCTAATTTGACCGCCTTAACTAGGCATTAAACCCATGTGCAACGCCTCCGCAGGACCAACATCGCAGTTCGGCACACGCACAACATAACACTTACAGGTATATGTACACAACTGACCGATTTACGAGCATAATTGAACTTTTTCTTTTTTACACAAACTCCGATTAAAAGAAATGGGGTGCTCGTTTTCCCGCGGTTTCCCGCGGTGCATTTCTCCACGAGGCTTTGCCGCGCGTCCGGGAGCACTGCCAGACAACGGATGCCGCCGCCGGGCCCCAGGGACTTGCCCCAGATGATATTTGCGGCTCTGCGTGGGAGAGCGTCAGAGAGCACAGGGCCCGGGCGCAGATGCTGCTCTGGCGCGACCTTGCCGCTGGCGAAGATCGCGAAGGGAATAAACTGTGACGGCTGCGGTCGCTCGCGGAAGAGGACACATTGCTGAAACCTGAAGCAAGCGGTTTGCGCTATGAAAAATAAGAATAGGTTTGACCGAGCTATAAATGCTCCAATACCTGCATTGTCTTTGTGCTGTTCTCCTTTTGGCGTTCTCTGGTCTGACACTGGTGAAACGAGGCTGTCTCCGGTATAGGCCAAACAGTTTCAAAGACAATGCATACATTTATCAGAGCATGTTTGTTTGCATGCCCACCACAAGTGCCTGGGGTTAATGCAGACTTGATTCCTTGCAAAAGGTCTTTATTTGGCATCGTCGTCATGCATCTCGTAAACACCGACGAACCACAGGCAAGAAAGATGGAAGGCAGCCTGGCGGTAAGCCGGTGCCAACAACTGTCCAAGTTGTCGTCCTCTGTATATTAAAGACGTTGTGGCCAATTAATGAGTGATGATGCATTATTACGCTTGTTTATCCAGGAAAGCCTCACCGCGTCTTAAGACTTGTCAGGAGGGTCTTGACAAATTATTCGCAGTAGGGGGGTTGGGGTGGGGGGCGATGTTGTATTTGTGTAATCCCAATTGAGTAATACTTGCAGGTACTTTTTCGGCATTACGATGCTTTGGCCAACGCCAGCTCCAATGTTTATGTTTTCTCAATCGATGGGAGGGAACCAGAACTCCCACATGGAGCCCACGCAGAACAAGGTGAGAACAGAGAAACTCTGCACAGGAAAGCACCCGAGTTAAGAATCGAACCCAGGTTCATTTTTTTCTGTGAGGTGCCAGTGTTACCACCACGCCACCACTCTGCCACCCTTCTAATAGGGCACCTCAATCCAGTCGCAGCGAATATAAAAAGAGAGGTCTGCAACTTTGTTGTATTTTGGGGTTAAAAGTGGCAATTTGTGCTCTTAATTCCCACGCCGAATTCAGGGCAGGGACTGCCAGACGTGGTGACACGCTCCAGCACCGACTGCATGCCCATCGCCCTGGTTCATCCTCATCGCCACCACGACCATCACCATTTGCTTTACATTTTCAAACTAAGGTCGAATGCGTGTATGCATCAGCTCCGTCCTTCCATCACCATAACTCTCGTGTGGATGATCCAAAGTGAACTAAACGCTGTGAACCAGCCAAATTAATAAAAAAAAACTTGGGAGACACAAACGGGAGCGTAAATGACCGCTGTTTAGACTGCCGCACCATCAGTTTCCAGACTGCCGATTGAAGACCTTTGAGGATAAACGTACGTTGAAAAGCGTCGCATCGTCCGCAACTTGTAAATCTTTAAAAGGAGAGTGAGCTTACGCTAATACGTTAATCTCCGATGTGCTTTAGGGCCACGTGTTATGCAACGTGATGTCCGACGTTTCTCTGCATTTGCCGGGTGTTCATATTGTTTGAGTCTTTCGGTAAAGTCACGCAGTGTTGTTGCTCTATTATTTCCTGGAGTCACGAAAGCTCAAAATCTCTCATTGACATGCTAATTTCTCTACCCCCCCCCCTCTCTCTCTGCCCCCCTATCTCTATATCTAAGGCCTCGACACAGAGGCGTTGTTTCTCTGTGTGCCTATGTGTGTGTCTCTCTCTATGTCTCTGTGTTATCTCTATCTGCTTATGTGTCTGTCTATGTGTCTCCGTGTCTGTGTTTTGTCTCTCTCTCAAATTTAGCAATCTTTGGAACAACGTAATCAACCAGGTAGGGTGTTGACTGTTATGTTAGCCGACTCTCTGTGTTGTATTGCAATATACTTCTAAGTTTACTAGGTTTGTTTTCTCTTTCATTTGTACCTGATGATGATTGCTTGTGTTGCGATCGAAACGTCGTAGTTTTTTGTTATTTTTTTGAACCTATCTACGTGATTTTATCGAAAGACCCAAAGATTATAAATTCCTGCAGTCACGAAAGCTTTAAGTCAAGATTTGCCGCGTGCGTCTTCAAGAGCACGTGGAGCTCCTTCAGCTTTCAGCACGTGCAGCGAAACGTCGGACATCATGCTGTACAACACGTGGTCACGTGCTCCCAGCGGTAGCGCGTTTGCCGCTTGTTGCAGAGGTTTGTGGTTCTAACGGGGCAGGCTGCCCTGGTTAGTACTGCGGTGTGTGTATGAGCCGTACAAATGCTATGCGCCGTCTGCTTCAATCACAGTTGATAATCATCCCCTAACATGATTCGCGAGAGTAGCGCCATCGTGTGCCACCGTCATTATGCTCCATATTTTTCAAATTCGAAATATTACACCGCAAATTACTCAATTGGGACTCCACACACACACAGACACAGCAGCGTCGTCCCCCTACTGGCAGACGAATGCCCGCCTGAAGGCCAGGCGCAGTGTCACCAGGTGCCACACAGGGACGGCTACCGCTCGGGGGGTGCACTCCGAGCGTGTCGAGGCGAGACGCGACGACGCGAGTCGCCGCATCTCGTCTCGTGTCCAAGCAATGCGAACCGCCGCCCACCCCTCGGCCGTGAAGGAGGGGGCAACACCAACCACCGCAACCCAACAGCGCCGCGCTTAGCACGGCTGCAGCGCGTGCCAGCGGGCGAGCGGCCGGCCCGCCGCGTCCCCGCCGGCCCGCACCTCCTGCCAGTGCTGGCGGGCGCGTGGGGACGCGGCGCCGGCGCCCAGAACGACGCGGCCCAGCGGCGACGGCCCCGCTCCGTCGGCGGAGTCGGAGTCGCCCTCCTCCCCCGCCTCCTCTTCCTCCTCGTCGCCGGCTCCCGCGTGCACGACGACGAGCAGCTCGAGGCTGGTGGCGCCGCCGCCCAGCGCCACCTCGAAGGACTCGTTGAAGAGGGCTCCGGAGGAGGCCCGGCGCACGCGGGTCTTGCGCTTGAGCACGCGCTCGCTCCCGGCGAAGGCGCTCACCTTCACGCACGCCGCGCCTGCACCGCACCGCAGCCTCCGTTGAAGGGGGGGAGAAGGGCAAAGGCGCAGCCCTGCGATTGCCTGCGGACGATACTGCTGGTGCAAGGGCGTCCACCAGAGCGGAGCCCTGCAGGATATTTGGCCTATTATTATTCTTCCATGCTGGCCACACGTTCTGAAAGAAGCTGGGCACACGTTCTACAAGAGGCAGGAGTACCCACACGCACCCTTTATAAAAGGGGGGAGTATACAAACGCCCAGCAGAGGACAAGACATAGTCTTAGACAAGCTCTAAATGACACGGTCAGTGTTAGACAAGCTCTAAATGACACGGTCAGTGTTAGACAAGCTCTAAATGACACGGTCAGTGTTAGACAAGCTCTAAACGACACGGTCAGTGTTAAACAAGCTCTAAATGACACGGTCAGTGTTAAACAAGCTCTAAATTACACGGTCAGTGTTAAACAAGCTCTAAATGACACGGTCAGTGTTAGACAAGCTCTAAACAACACGGTCAGTGGTAAACAAGCTCTAAATGACACGGTCAGTGGTAAACAAGCTCTAAATGACACGGTCAATCTTATAAATATCTAAAGGAACGTTAAAGTGAAAGAGTAGCGAGGCGATCTGCTGCTGTTTGCTCCGGCGCTCACGCCCTGCATCTATGAGCAAAGGCTGCACCGGCATTGTTTGACTTGGTGACAGATATTCAGAAATGGGGAACTGAGCCTTGAGCAGGAAGCGGGTTGCGGGGGGGAGGTCTTCCCCCTCCAGCCCCCTTCCCCAAAGCCACTTGGGTGGAACCGCCACGCCATTGCCGGTAGCTTTAGGTAATCGGGATTAATTGCCTGTTACACAAAAAGTTAGGTTTTTAACTAATTGTAATTCGCAAGGCATGTTACCGTCGGAACATTATGACACGCAGTAGCAATTGCAGCGGAATGTTTAATGAGGATCGAGATTACTTGAAACACCCTTGCAGCCAAAACTTAATTGGGAGCGCTAATTGGTTCCATTGGCTCTAGCTTTGCAGTCTTCTTCTGTGAGGTCTCGAAATTTGGAATTCCGTCGCTGGTCTGGACAAGAATTGGATGCCCCTGGGAGACGAAGTGAGCAGCTTTTACGCGGCTGATTGCTCGATCAAAAAAGAAATAACAATTTATGCTGGACTTTGTGAGTAGCTATGATTGCCCTGGAAGTCATGCTGATAGAAATATTTATGGCAAACCTTTTTGTTTTGCTCTCACGGAAAGAAAAAAAAAACTCCAGCTTACGAGACAATGATTCGTGCAAATCCAATTCCAGATTCAAGATTACCTGTTTAATGTCGTAAATAATTGTTTTGTTGATTGAAATAATTCACTTGTTCAGACCACAGACACAAACCACACCGACACGCCACAGCACCACTTGGACGTGTGTGGCGTCTGAATGCCAATGAGGCTCGAAACGCCACGCACGGAACAAAGAGTGGGACGCACGCATCACGTGGATGAGACCGGAGTGGTTCCGTTTGTAAAGCGAGGGGCACCATCGCAACACCTCGATAGGAGAGGGGACAGCCACGGGCAGAGGAGATGACGGAGTTGGTGAAGCCTTTCTAAACATGCCACTCGAATTTCTTTTTTTACTTCACCAGTTAAACCCCACTGAGCTATGTAGCTCTTTTTCAGAAGTGACCTGGCCACAAAGGATAGCTCATCGGAGTGCCTTATCATGTGTACATTTACAGCAACAAAATACACTCATCATGCTCATCAACCATACTCGATCCACAGCTGAACGAAGACCTTCCCAAAGACATGGCCACCTCCCGCGATCTTGCGATGTAACAATTCACCCAGGTACCTGAGCACGACCTGATTTCGTCCGTAATAAAGGTTTTTGTTTTGTTTATATAGTGTCATAATATGTGTCGGTAAACCCACCACCCAACACAACCAATTAGTAAGGTTTGTCAAGTAAACAAAATGTGCCAATTAGTTACTGGTTCAGCACACCAGTGTGTTGGAGGGTAAACCCACAACATGCATAATGGGGGCACGACAACATGTTACACTGAAGTCGTCGCTCCGTCTGCTCAGCGGAGGCATTCCAAAATGTGTTCCACTTCCTTGGCTTGCCACTCGCTCATTATTCTTGACCGTTGACCATCGTCCCGTCGAGCCGTGCCACATCCAGCCCAAGCCCACGTTGGACTTTCTTCAATTAAAAGTTATCGCATTAACCTCTCCATGCACAAAGAAGCGTGGAGGGATGCACACTTGGAATTATGGAGAGGGATAGAAAGATGAACGGATACATTGCACTATATACATAACATCACAGTTTCCGTTAACTTAATGAGTATATATGCCAGGAGTGATTTTTTTAAACAGATGCGAAATATAGTTGCAGTCTGCTCATGATGTCATTATGCCAAAGCCAATTAATTTAACCCCCCCCCCCCATCGCCCCCTATGAACGCGCACACACACACGCGCACACACACACGCGCACACACACGCACACACACACGCGCACACATGCGCACACGCACACAACAACAGCCATTCGCCACTAAGTGGCAGTGACGTCACCACGACGCTTGTGCCAGGCCATGTGCACCTTGAGGCCACGTGAAGTGTCGTACGCCCGTTGGCAGGAGGTCACGGGGCAGACCCAGGTGCCACGGGTCGACTGACTGAGATGACTGAGATGACCGAGATGACTGGCTGATGCACCACCTGTGCCCCCTACTGTGCTAACTTGCTGTGCTTTAGCCACCCGGCGCTCTGTTCGTTGTTGTGAGCGTCGCTCCTCCGCCCTCAGTTGTTGTTTGAGGGCGACTGCCTCCAACTGCCCAGTAGCGGCCTTCACGAGCCTCCTCCACAGAGTCTGGCACCAGTCATTGGCATGTCCACTCAGCTCCTGTACCACGTCACTCCATCTCTTCTCTAGCCCGTGCCGCGCCCGTTTAGCCCCCTCGATCCAGCCGAACAAAAGCTGTTTGGGCATGTGGTGATTGGGCATGCGGGCTACATGGCCCAGCCAATGCAGCCTTGCCTGCCGGAGGTGCTCACCGATGGGACTTTGTCCAGATCTTTCGAGGATTTGTGAGATCCTCACACAATCCAGCCTGGTTAAACCCAGGGTTGATCGTAGGCAGGCCAGCCTAAATGTTTCTAACCGGCGAAGATGTTCCATTAGGGGGTCCACGTTTCGCATAGAGAAGGGAGGGAATTATTTTGGCCGAGAACACCCGAAGCTTCATGCGGAGCGACACACCAGGTAACTTCCACACAGCGTTACGCAACTGATGAAAAGATAATGCCGCTCGACTGATTCGGAGTGAGACCTCTGCTGTTAAACCGGAGCTGGTCATGAGCACACTGCCCAGGTATGGGAAACTCTCCACTCTCTCCACAACTACCCCATCACCGATTGGGAGTTGTGGGGGTGGAGTGCTCGATGGTACAAAATACCCAGGCAGGTGCTTCGTTTTGGTGGGACTGATGGTAAGGCCCCATCTCTTAGCGGCACGCTCCAGTTTCAGCAGCAGCGCCTCCAACTCCTCCTCTGAGCGAGCTGCAATTACCAGGTCATCGGCATACATAACGTGGTTGACCAATAGGGAGCCATCCCTTGACCCCACCTGGGCATCGATCAGCCTCCCATTGTATCTGTACCAGATGGAAATTCCTCCGGTACAACTACTGAAGGCTTCACAAACTACGTGGAGCCAGAGGACATCCCTGTCGCACCCCAAGGTGTACAGGGAATGGCTCTGACTCCCGGCCAGGCCTGCTCACCATCATGAAGGTCCATAATGAGCGTGAGCAGAGGGTCAGGGACTCCGAAAGCACGAATAACAACCTTGAGCTCAGGCCTACTGATGGTATCATAGGCCTTGACCAGGTCAATGAAGCAGAGATATAGGTCTTGTTGAAATTCCCTACACCTCTGCTGTAGCAGACGGACAGAAAATATGGCATCTGTGCAGGACCGCCCTTTTCTGAAACCACATTGAGGCTCCGCAAGGCTCTCCTCAACGTGCCTAGCAAGGCGATGTTGAATAATCCTTGCCAGGACACTGAGGAGTGAGATGCCCCTGTAGTTGTTACAGTCTCCAGTCACACGCATACACACGCACACACACGCTGCTGCGTGCAGCTCACTTCTGCTCGTTTCTTCTTTCTCTCTTCTCCGTCTCTTCCCTCCCCCCTCTCATCATCACTGCCACCCTCTCATCCCAGACATCTTGGCCCAGTCACCACCCTCCCCACCGCCCCTTCCTCCTCCTATAATTTGCACTCCTGTAGTGTTTTTATATTGTGTAACTGTCTGACCCGCCCCTACTGAACTGCTTTTTTTAGTTTGTTGGCCTACCCCAGCGCACCTGCGATTAGCATGGTGGGCTACGTACGGTGCGAAAGTAGTTCAATATATAGATACATACTAGACATATGTGACAAAGAGCTTCACAGCTCATCGGATTTCCCCAGGATATATAAAGATTCTTACTGCTGCTCGTCTTGAACCGTGCCCTCCTCTTTGTCCGCCTCAGGGACTTCCTTCCAGCCTCACTTCACTCTCCCTCTAATCTTGCTGCCCGTGTCTGCTGCCCTTTAAACACAGATCCTGAAGCAGTCGATTCGTGCTGGATACAGTCACATTTGCAATTGTGATTTGTAACGTTGATCATTACCTGCTCGTCGATTGTTCAATGTTAATGTGCCATTGTCTTGAGGGGCTACTGCTGTGTGGCGCTATCTTGGTGTGGTCTGGAACTGTCTTATTCTTTCTGCTGCCTTGTCAAATGTCGATGAGTCAGACTTGGATAACTCACTAATGAATACATCAATTATAGTGTACGACCTGCTTACCATTTCCTCTTGTTTGCGCTCCTGTCGTGTTGTTGTTTTGTTTGCTGTTGTAACTTGTCGACATGCCCGGACTGGGCATGAATGGAAAAGAGCTTCATAGCTTATTGGATGCCTTCGTCCAGTTATAAATACATATTCTGACTTTTGCGGAATTGACTCTACTCCCAGTCCCATCGTGTGCCACAAGCACAAAGCTTTGGAGCGCTCAATGCGGCGTTTGAGGTTTGCGCTTACATCCCATAGTGGGGAAACGCAGCCATTATTATCATTCACACCACGTCGGTGCTCAATTATCGTTTCTAACTGAGGTTTAACTTTTACTCTATAAGCAAATTAACATAAGTCAAACGTAACTTATCTGTTTGGACGAATCACGTTTACGAAAATGTAAAACGGCCATAATAGACTCTCTCTTCCATAATATAGTTTTTTTTCGGGGGTTAGATCACATAAATCTATAAATATGCGCTCTAACCTCGTAAATATTTATATATATACGCAATATAACCCCAAAAAAACCCTGTATTAAGGATTATATTGGTCGCGAAAGCCTACGTGTTAAACAGATACTCTCATGATTTGCAGCTTTCGTGACTGCAGGAATCCATACTCTTTGGTTCTTTCGGTAAAGTCACGTAGGTAGAAAAATAATAGATACGACGTTTCGATCGTAACACAAGTAATCATCATCAGGTGGGACAGCCACAGCCTACTTCAGCCTACTTCAGCAGTTTTTCTTGCTGTGGTTGTCCCACCTGATGACGATTGCTTGTGTTGCGATCTAAACGTTGTGATCTATTATTTTTCTACCTACGTGACTTTACCGAAAGCACCAAAGAGTAAAGATACTCTCTTGTTTTATTCGTGCAGATAATGACACTTTATTGCATATGCACATTTTCGTTCTTTGGAATTGTTGCATTTTTGAGGTTTTATTCTGAGGTTATTTTGTATTTATCTGAATTTCTGATCCAAGCCTCCCTTGAAAAATATAAAAAAACACGTGCAGCTCATTGAGCTCTTAGGGTCATCATGGTTACCATCGTCAGCTCTGATCATCATCAGCCCTTCTGGATGAAGGCCTCCCCACACTGTCACCGCCCATCTGCCTCCTGCACTTCAGAGCTCCATCTCCGCCGGGGACGCCCTGCTGGGTTTGTTCTCACCAGCCACGTTCGTCAGCCGTATTCCCTTCTATCGATCTGTCCTGCCCAAGTCCACTTACTTTCCTTTGCAGCCATTGCGATCTCTGATCTGACTTCGTTCTCTGCTGCGTGTGTCCCTCTGTCCGTCTCCCTGAATAAGTCCAGGAACATATCTCTCCGTGCTTCCCTGCATACATTTCTGCTCTTGTTCCATTTTCTGTCAGAGTGCATGCGTCTGACACGTTTCGATGAGCTCACACTTGGTCATTAATACATATTTGAACCCTTTCCCATTCTGATGACGTATGTGTATGTCGTAAATTTGTCTTCGGATACCTTTCAGAAGATGTGCGTGTAGGTTATTGTAAAGGAACCGGAAGAAAAACCAAAATAAAATAACTTTATCGGTACCGAGGCTCCAACAAGGCCATGTAGGAGGGCATGTGGCACAGTTTGGCGAGAGCTATCATATAATGCGGTCATGTCGCTACGGTTCTCTGAGGTGAGTACGACGTCTTTCAAAGCAACGGCGTGCTCTAAATGAAATTAATGTTAACCGCTTGCACGTTCTGAGAGTCAGCGGTGAACGGGACCCACCCTGCAACTTGCAGACGTCTCGGAACAGGAAAGGGTTAATTTGGTGGCAGAGTGGTCCACAGGTAGCAATCGTGCCTCAAAGCAAGAAGCACCTGGTTTCCATTCCTGACTCGGGTGCTTTTCTGTGGTGGGTTCGTACGTTCTCCCCCTTTTCCACGTGGAGTTTTTCCGGGTTCTCCGGTTTTGTCCCATAGCTAAAAAAACTCATCAAATGTAACTGGTGTTGACCAGCCATTCCAATACTTACAAAACAACCTTGCAAATGACTCCATTTGGACTACACAGCTACATCGAACGCTGCCCCCCTATGAATAACTTGGGAGGACTCATTGAGGCTTGCCTGGGTAAACAATGGAATACATGATGATGATAATAATAATAATGTCTTGAGTTGTACCCTCAAGAATCCAGCACTCACTCATTCACACACAGACGCTACAGACACACGAACAAAAACACAGAGAGACCGCAGGGACGCATCTGAGAGCAGCAGTGTGGGACAATCCACTTTGCCCTCCCCTACATACCGAGCGACGAGCCAGTGTCCCTCTTGTGAAGACCCCGGGCCTTCAAGATGACCACGGTCAGGCGGCTGTCGGCCTGCGTGAAACTCAGAGAGACCAAAAGCTCTCCAACCCCGGCAGGTTTCTGCAAGAACAAGATAACATGAATAACATTCCTAATAATAATAAAGATAAAAGCATAATACCCCACACAACCACGACACGTAACGTGTTAACTTAACACGGAGGTGTTCGCAACCCATGTAATCCACACCTCCGATTAGCACGGTTGGCTGCATACTGTGCGAAAGAAGTTCAACATACATACATATATTCTGACTTCATGGATTTTATTTGTGATATTCCTGGAATTTCTGAGTTGATGTTACCGAGGAATGGCTCATTGAATTTCAACTATCCTTTGTCCGGGAGGTCCTGGATTGGGGGGTGTTTGGCTGCCTCTCATCTTAGTTTTGTTTAATTTAGTGTAACCCAAGGAGAACTCAAGAGACCAGGATATGATCTCATTTTGCAAGAGTGACCTGGGTCACTGAAATGACCAAAAGTGATATCGCGAACACGAGCACTGCGACGACGAGGAGGAGAATAGCAACCAGAGCAAAAAGCAACCCACGTAAGGAAGAAGTGAACAACAGGGCACGAACACAAATCAATATTAAATTAAATACATTTCGATTAGCGAAAGTTAGCTTGGAAAAAAATAAATTCGTAAAAATAAATCCAATGGAAAATTGTGTTACGTAAACATAAAAGATGATTTAGGGTTATTATTGATGGAAAAAATTGATGTGAGTTCAAGTGAAAGGTCGCGAATCTCATTGCTGCTAAAATCTGGTTTTGAGAACTTGCCAGTGAACGAGCCGAAACGATCTTAATTGGCCCGATAAGCACCCGTACATGTGACTATTTAATTTGTTTGGCTGCGTTGGGTGGTGGAGGGCCTTACAATAGAATATTAGTCAGATCACTTTGTGGCCTAACCCAAACATCAATTATGAATTACGTAACGTGTTGTAAAATTATTAATGTACACCCATTCATTTCCACGTATCAAAGGTCAAAAGGTGCAGCGCTGCAATTCTGTGCTCATGCCACCGCTGGCAGAAGGGGCCCCTGTTAGAGAGAATTCTAGAGTGCCTTTCTGGACGGTGTTCACCAACTCATGTAGGCTGACCAAACGTCTAAAATGTGGTTAGGAGTAATCACACTTTACCGTACCACTCGCGATGGACTGTGGAGCACCCAATTAAACTGCTGGGTGGACAGAATCAGAATGATTTCTTAAAGTTTTCTATTTAAAAAAAACTAAAAAAACACAAGTTTCTTATGAAAGATGGAATCAAACCAGCGGCCTCTGGAAACAGCAAGGCCAACGCGCTAACGATTACACCATGGCATCATAAATTGGCATATATATACGTGTATGTACATATACATGCTTTGCCGCGATGTGAAAATGAAATGTATCCGTTTTTGAATCTTTCTTTGGAAACTTGCTGATATAAAAATTAATTCTCTACTCATGGTTATTTAAAGTACGATTAATGTTTCATGCACAGTGGGGACGGAAACATGACATTTTGATGTGCAGATCACAGTTTATGAAATTTAATAACAGGCTTTCTTTCATTTGATAGTCATATTTTAGTTGGTATTTTTTTTCTATTCTCTCACATATTCAACTGCCACGACAAAAGTCGCCCGCCACAGGAACTGACTTTGTAGTCAGGTGCGGACTGACAAATAAAACGCAAAGCCTTTATATTGCACGCATTCCTCAGCCCTGATTTTCAAGGCACCTGTAGTCCACATTTAAAGGGTGATGACTAAGGTGAGCGCCTATGTGTAAGTGGGTGGGGGGTGAGCTGGGGGCTGAACATCTCTCTGCTGCCTCCATGGATATTGGCAATATCTCTTAAAGGAGGGGAGGAGGAATGAAGGATTTACAGCCGTAGCAAGGGGTTTACTAATATTTTTGAGAAGGTCAGGCAGGCGACACTTCGATGGTTTTGGCACGTGTTGAGAAGAGACAAAGACGATGTGATGAGAAGGGATTCCGGAAATGCCACCGGTGCAGGGGCAGAGTTATGGTCGCGGTTCCCATACTTCACCGTCATGGTCAGTCCGATTTGGTGAAGTGGGCAAAGAGCGGGATCAGTTCAGATGTCACCCGCCTACTGGACATCTTTGAAAAAGAGCTTTATAGTTCATCAGATTACTCCAGTATAAACATTCTTACTCTGATTCACGGATGTTTTCCGTGGCGGGGAATAGAACTCGGGTCACAGGGTTCATAGCGCTGCGTGAAAACAACTGTACTACCAGTTCTTTTAAAAGTACGTCTAAAATAAAATTGCGTGTAAAAAAAAAACGACGTGTAAAATATTGTTTGCACGATGTAAACACAGAATGTAACGTTTGAAGTGTAAATGCGACGAGAATGAGTACAATGATTGCCTTAGTCGTGACCAAACGTTCAAGTTGTTTGAACAATTAAGCAAAAGCATGCTAAGGTTATAAATGTACATCACAGGCATATGTTATGTACATAGACAGGTGGCTTTCGCACGTGCTGGTAAGCGATAGAGGGGAGGCAATGAGAATGGCTCAGGAGCTGCCGCTGGTGCAAGGCAGGAGGAGTGCACCAATAGCTCCCATCACGCGGTGCGGAGGCCACTGGTGGTGGTCTCCACAAGCCCGTGGGAAGTGGTAGCAGAACTATTGGGGACACTGATTTTTTTTTACCCCAAAACACAGTGTTTTTTTTTACTATTGCGTGACTATTTAAATGGTTTAATAAAGAGCAAGTCACCTATCATATATTTTTTCTGTTAAAGCCACACTCAGCATTATTATTGACGAGTGCGTTAATATTTTTATTCATTGTGCTTGTGTACCAATGCCAACAGCAGCTGAAGCAGCATCGCCAGATAATTTGTTTAACCGTGCAGCTATGATGATTCTGGTTCGCGGGAAGAAGGGAAGGTGGCGTTGGTTAGGAGTGGGCGGTAGGTAGCGCGTACACACTGGGAGTGCCGGAACTGCCTCCAGCATATTCATGTATTTTTTATCTGATGCTTTACATTTTTTATGCTGTACTGTTTTGTGGCAGTGAGCTGAAAAAGTACAGAAAAAAATTGCAGCTCTATTTCTTGCAAAGCAGCGGCACGTCCCGTGAAAATTTTGCGTTTTATTGATGAATCAAACATAATAAATTCCAGTTATTCTCCATCCACCAATGAATTAAGGTCTAGTGGTGTTTCTTTTTTAACCATACTTCACCACGCTCGTCAGCTCGAGTTGATGAAGGGGCGTAGGAAAGGGCAGAATCTGTGAAAAAGAACTTCATAGCTCATCGGATATCTTCAGTATAACTAAATATTCTGATTCTGGATCTATTCTGATGGAACTCACCACCGACATTATCCGTGACCGGGAATCAAACTCGGGTCGCAGGGTATGTGGGGCGCGCGGTAAGTGCCCCGCGGGCCAATGTTTCATCGTTTGTGTGTGCGCACAACTGCAGTTTGCGCTGCGAGCGCAGACCGTATGCAATGTGTGAACGGGAAACACAAGAGGAAATACTTCAGCGATTTTCCATTGTTGTGACTCCACATTTGAATTGTCTGAAATGTGCATTGCAAAGCAAAAATAACCCACGATACCAAGGGCAGGTAGTTATCATTACCTTCGAGTCAAGGGCTGGATTTACTCGGCGCTTTTACAAATTCGATTATTGAACAGTGTGAGTGAACTAGGCGGGTGACCCACAGTGCTGCTTGGTCTGCCATAGCCAATACGAGTGCCACCCCACTGTGATCTCATTCATTCAAGGTACGGTGCGATTTGGATTTATTTCCAGTTGATTTTCTGGAGCCGGGAGAGGCCATGATAGGCATCTCATTTTTATAGAGTGGTCTGGGTCTCGCCAACGCGACAAAAGCAAAAAAATCCAATTTACGGCAATGAAGCCAACAGAAAGCTGGACAAAAAAAACCGCGTCAACACAAAGGAGACCTAAAGATGGTGCTTGAACATAAATCACCGTTAAACAATATAATTCCCTGCAGAGTTAGTCGGTGCAGGGAGATTGTTTTGAGCCTGCAAATACAAATGACGTGACAGAAACATGAAACTGAAATAGGGTGACTATTTTAGTAATATGTAAACAGACGACATACGTCAAAATGTAATGTATGTACAACTCTTTAGTCAATCCACTCTTGGATGAGCGTCTTTCCAAACCGTAGGCGTTTCTTGACCTTACTTCACCAGGTTGGTTTAGTGCAGGTAAAGCTGAGGGGGCATAGACCTGACCGCGCAGTACAGTACAACTGTTTATTTTTATGAACTACCTACAATGTAGCTCAGAAGTAGCATCAGCAGTCTATGACAACGACGACTTGTTTTCATTGACGCCAGTCGCCCATCCAAGCGCTGTCCAGGCTCCAACCTGCTTAGCTTCTGAGATCCAGTGAGCTCGGGTACGTTCTGAGCGATCTGGTCATCATTGGTGGCTCATATGAAAAGGCCTTCCGATGCCACGTTGGCCGTGAAGGTTGTTTCACCATACTTCACCAAGCTGGTCAGTGCAGAATGGTGAAAACTCAATAAAAAAATATAAAAAGTAATGATTATATAAGTCTCAGAGTTGTACAGTATCATCTTTCAATGATATGGAGCAACTGTCCCCCCTATAACGCGTTGGGGTTGCATGAGTCAGTAGTGCGTTGGTGAGATATTCTACACCATCAATTACTGTGCCCATTTCAATGAGGCAGCTGAGCAAATGGAACCATTTTCAATGCATCTTAATTAAACACTAATCGGCCCACATTGAAGGCACTGCCTCTTACTCCTCCGAGAGAGGCGGGACGGTGCGAAACAGCGGAGCTGAGCACCATGCTGGGCGCCACGCTGGCTAGGAGATGTTAACTACCTCGCCTGGTATGCAAGAGGTTGTGGGTTCGATCCTGACCCTGACACCTGTATATTTGGAGTTTGCATGTCCTCCCCGTGGTCGCCTCAATTTTTGTCCGGGTCCTCCAGGTTTTCCCTTCACATTTAGAACCAACATCACGCGTTTAGAGTATTTGGCTGGGATATAGCCACTTAGTTGAGCTATCATTTGTGGTCATCTCACTTTCAAAAAAGCGGTATATAGCTCAGCAGGCCTTATCTGCTAAATTAAAAATAGTTTAAAATAGTGTCCAGTTTTTTTAAGGCAACTTGCGCGTTGACATGAACGCAGCTACGAGGCGTCGCCATGCTGCAGTGTAAGTCGGCGCGTTGGGCCTGGGATCCAGAGGTCGCCGGTTCAATTCAGTCTCCCGGCGTGGCAGTCGAAAAACGGTGTTTCTCAAATCACTCCACGCCACCGCGTCTGTCCAATAACAGTGTGGGGGAAAAGGGCAAAACACCCTTTGGAGTGGCTCTCTCTAGTGGAAGCCCCTTCTGTCAACGGTGGCAGTGTGGCGCTGCCAGTGCTTGCTCACTATAAAAACCGGCCCCGCCGAATCCGACAGCGCATGGCGGGGGGAGTGACCCATGGGCAATAGCGGGGAGTCGATATGAACTACCGGACATCTGTGAAAACTGCTGGACCATTTGTGAAAAAGAGGTTCATAGGATTTATCCAGGCTAAATAAAGATTAGGATTCCGAACTGCACTCGCGGCCGTCTCGTTACCTGCATCCCACGTGGGACGATGTGGCGACAGAAGGCGACCACCTCAGGCCCCGCGGCGATGCCTGCCAGTGGCACGGTCACCTCCCCAATCACCTCCTCGCGGGACAACCGCCCAAAGCTAAGCACGGCGAAAGTGATCTCGGAGCCCTCCATCTGCACGGCGCTCAGGCCGTAGAAGGCGAACGTCTCATCGAATACCGGGTCCCGAGTGCCACGCAGGACCCGCGTCTGCCCCCTGAAGCGCCGCTCGGGGAGGATCAGCAGCTTAACGCAAGGGTCGGTGGTGGTGGCGGCTAGCTCGTCGGCCGGAGGCAAGCCCCGTGCCTCCTTGACGTGGACAAGCAGTGCTTCCTTCCTTTCGTCGTGCTGGAGCGAGAACGACAGCGTCCCCAGTTCCGGCGCCTCTACCGGAGCGCCGACCGCCTTCGCTGGGACGGCGGCGGCATCGGGCGATTGTGCGGGGCCTTGACGGGGACTCTCGCCGGACCGGCCGACGGGCTGCGTCAGGGGCTTGAGGGTGGCGAGCGGGTGGCGGCGCTCGCCCAGCGTCTCGGGATAGATGTGGGCGCTCTTGAGCATGTGCACGAAGCGGTAGGGGGTGCGGGAGCGAGCGCCCCTGGAGGACGAGGAGCAGGAGGAGAAGGAGCGCCGCGGTGGTGGCGGCGCGCGTTGGCAGCAAACCCACACGAAGGCGGTGAGCGACAGCGCGAGCACCAGCGCCAGCACGCCAAGCACCCCGAAGAGCACAGAGGGGGTGTCGGCTGCACGCGGGCCCAGGGAGGCGGTGGGCACGGAAGGGGGTGGTCACAGAGTGGTGGGCACGGGAGAGGATGGGAACGGGAGGAGGTGGGCACGGGAGGCGGTGGGCACAGAGTGGTGGGCACGGGAGGAGGTGGGCACGGGAGGAGGTGGGCACGGGAGGCGGTGGGCACGGGAGGAAGTGGGCACGGGAGGCGGTGAGCACAGGAGGAGGTGGACACAGGAGGAGGTGGACACAGGAGGCGGTGGGCACAGGAGGAGGTTGACACAGGAGGCGGTGGGCACAGGAGGAGGTGGGCACGGGAGGGGCGGACACGGGAGGGGGTTGGCACAGGAGGAGGTGGGCACAGGAGGGGGTGGTGTAGAGTTGTTGGGTGTTAAACAAGCAAAGGCAGAAAGCTTACGGGGGGTACACAAAATATCCCAAGGGCTCACCCGACTCTAAGAGAAATAGTGCAGCAAATTGTCGGCTCAAATTCAAATCCCAATTAAGATATATATATAATTAACATACATTGTAATAAACAAACACCCAAGCTATTTAATCTCTCTCATTCTAATCTTGTGTGTAGCTCTCTTCACTCTTCTCCCTATCTCTCTCTCTCTCTCTTGCCCGCATCTCTCATATCTTACTACATCTCTGTCTCATCTGTTTCGGTCTTCACTCATCTCAAGACTCGTTCGCACACATGTACAGTGAGGGAAAAAAGTATTTGACCCCCTCTCAATCAGAAAGATTTCTGGCTCCCAGGTGTCTTTTATACAGGTAACGAGCTGAGATTAGGACCACACTCTTAAAGGGAGTGCTCCTAATCTCAGCGTGTTACCTGTATAAAAGACACCTGTCCACAGAAGCAATCAATCAATCAGATTCCAAACTCTCCACCATGGCCAAGACCAAAGAGCTCTCCAAGGATGTGAGGGACAAGATTGTAGACCTACACAAGGCTGGAATGGGCTACAAGACCATTGCCAAGCAGCTTGGTGAGAAGGTGACAACAGTTGGTGCGATTATTTGCAAATGGAAGAAACACAAAAGAACTGTCAATCTCCCTCGGCCTGGGGCTCCATGCAAGATCTCACCTCGTGGAGTTGCAATGATCATGAGAACGGTGAGGAATCAGCCCAGAACTACACGGGAGGTTTTTGTCAATGATCTCAAGGCAGCTGGGACCATAGTCACCAAGAAAACAATTGGTAACACACTACGCCATGAAGGACTGAAATCCTGCAGCGCCCGCAAGGTCCCCCTTATCAAGAAAGCGCATATACATGCCCGTCTGAAGTTTGCCAATGAACATCTGAATGATTCAGAGGACAACTGGGTGTAAGTTTTGTGGTCAGATGAGACCAAAATGGGGCTCTTTGGCATCATCTCAACTCGCCGTATTTTGAGGAGGAGGAATGCTGCCTATGACCCCAAGAATACCATCCCCACCGTCAAACATGGAGGTGGAAGCATTTGGCTTTGGGGGTGCTTTTCTGCTAAGGGGACAGGACAACTTCACCGCATCAAAGGGACGATGGACGGGGCCATGTACCGTCAAATTTTGGGTGAGAACCTCCTTCCTCAGCCAGGGCATTGAAAATGGGTCGTGGATGGGTTTTCCAGCATGACACTGACCCAAAACACACGGCCAAGGCAACAAAGGAGTGGCTCAAGAAGAAGCACATTAAGGTCCTGGAGTGGCCTAGCCAGTCTCCAGACCTTAATCCGATAGAAAATCTGTGGAGGGAGCTGAAGGTTGGAGTTGCCAAACGTCAGCCTCGAAACCTTAATGACTTGGAGAAGATCTGTAAAGAGGAGTGGGACAAATCCCTCCTGAGATGTGTGCAAACCTGGTGGCCAACTACAAGAAACGTCTGACCTCTGTGATTGCCAACAAGGGTTTTGCCACCAAGCGCTAAGTCATGTTTTGCAGAGGGGTCAAATACTTATTTCCCTCATTAAAATGCAAATCAATTCATAACATTTTTGACATGCGTTTTTCTGGATTTTGTTGTTGTTATTCTATCTCTCACTGTTCAAATAAACCTACCATTAAAATTATAGCCTGATAATTTCTTTGTCAGTGGGCAAACGTACAAAATCAGCAGGGGATCAAATACTTTTTTCCCTGACTGTATGTATGTTGAACTTCTTTCGAATCAAACGTTGCCAACCGTGCTAACGAAGATACGGGGGAAGAATAACAAACTAAACACAAATGCAGTTCTAAAGAGATTAGTTTTCAATCTAGATGATTTTAAATACATCTCGCTGCATCTCCATCTCTCGTCAATATCTCTTCTGCTGTCGCACCGGGAGTTTATAAAAATTGGGTTGGGGGGGGGAGGTAGGGAGGGGTCTCAAAAATAATCTTTGCTTCGGGTCCCAATGGACAGAACCCCCAACTGATTTATTGGTAAAAGAGACCGAATAGAATAACAATGTTTACTGGGGCACCAATCATCCATTAGAAATCCACAAACATTCCTCCCGCCTGCTCGTAATTGATATTGAAATTAAAAATAACAAAAAGATCGTAAAGAAATCAATCTTCTTCGCTTCCACTTTGTACTTTTTTTTCGTATCCAATTTAACGTTTTGAAGTGTCACCCGGGGCTAGTAAATATTATTGTGGCTCATTAAGTAAAGATGCGGAGAGAAGGGAGGGGGGTAGATCCATTACGCGAAGCATCTGCAAATAATGCAAAATCATTAATCAAGTATCACGTCACACATCGCAAGACGCTATCAACATTCCACACGGCAGTCACTGTGACTATAGAATATATAGTCTCCTATTGTATGTTTTTCTCCCAAGCGTTCACACAGGTACACTTCCATAAATATGTATTGGCAAAATCTAAATGCGTGAGGCTAGTTGTCTGTGCGAGATAAGCAAAGGAAAATAAACTGCAGCAAGAACAAAAAACCTCTTGGTTATGATTGTGAACTTTATTCATTACTCAGATGCAGGGATTTCACTGCCAGATGTATCACGCCTGCCAGAACTATGTCCGCTAATGGTTTCCAATCTAAGTTTGGCCATGGACGGGCGGCTGTCGAAATAACGTGGCACGCGCCAAGCCCCTCGCCGACGCACGGCTCCGCGTGAGCGACACCTCCGCCTCGCGCTCCTCTGCCGTCGGGGTAGGAATCGAGTGGAGGAAACGAGAGTTTAGGGTTAAAGTTCAGGTTAATGTTGTCAGTGATAAGCTTAGGGAATAATGGCTTCATTGTTATTTTGTGTGCTTTTTAACCCCCCCTCCTTCGCCAAATGTGATCTCTCCTTTTCCTGTCTGCGTCAACCCGTGGGACTGTCGCGGAGGAGCAGTGTGCCAATCCGTGTAGAAGAGAACGGCACTCAGAATAAACTATTATATAACTACTTCTGAAATCTCTTTAAGTTATCTCTTATCCATACTTCGCGGGTGGAAACGTTTTCATCACACGGCAGTCAAGCTGCTATTTTTTTTTATTTCTCAGTGCTGAAACCTAACAAAACATGTACCGGACACAATTGATGAGGAAGGGGGGGGGGGGTGTTTTTAGGTGGTGGTGCTGCCGTTGGTGCCTGAGCTGAGACCATCAACTCACCACACTGACAATGGCGACAATCACGGGCGGCAGCCTGGGTTCAAATTCAGGATCTCAGCGACGCTGACCCAGAGTTCTGACCTCTGAGCCAGCTCGCGACCTCCGGGATAGTGGTGAGGTAAAGACTTGGGCGAAGCATCGTTAGCGTCGGCAATGACGTTTTAGATGCAGGGTTATAGGAGCCAGGGGTTGTGAATGGTATTAATGAGCAGACCTTGTTGCGTGTTGTACCATCACAGAGTTTTGTGAATCTCTCAAACCCGCTTGAGTGTAGTGTGGCCAGGAGATGGCAGCACAGAAAAACGGGTTTCCCCAATACGTTTATTCAGAGGCCTCCCTGTTTGATCTCCTCCTTTGAGTCGGGTTTCTCCAGGTACCGTGGGTTCCTCCCACAGGCAGAACGACTCACTAATAACAGGGCTGGCCGAAGATGCCAATTCAGGACCCTGCTGAAAACAAAATCTTGAAACTCAATGCGGCTCTTCCTGTAGGGGCGGGTTTAGACATTTAAAACTAAAACTAAACATTTTTTTTATTTACCAGGTAAGGTCCACTGAGCTATGTATCTCTTTTTCAGAAGCGACCTGAACATATATGAGAGCTAACGAAGTGGCTTATTGTCACGTGGAAATCTATAGCAGCGAAATACTCTAAACGTGTGATGTTGATTCTAAATTTGGAGCGAAAAACCGGAGGACCCGGAGAAAAATCCAAGCGACCACGAGGAGCGAGACACGCAAACTCCAAATATACAGCAGGTCGGGATCAACCCCACGACCCCCTTTGTACCAGGCGAGGTATTGAACATTTCACCACACGGTCCAGCAATGTCAACCTTTTCAAATAGGGTGCTGTATTAATAATAATAACAATGCAATCAATGTTTTTTCGCTGATAACAGAAAAACGTGATCTTTCGGGGAAGAGGATATGATCACCCCCAAATGAAAATTTGTAATGCTAAATTGTGATTAGCTTATTTAGTTATTTAATATGCCTTCAGATAAAATGTTAGAAATTGTTGGTGGTTAGTGTTGTTCTTCTGGTTGGTTACCCATCAACAAAGTTACTCATCATGGTTGGCATTTATGGTTGTGGTGATATAACACTTTAACACTTATAACGATATAAATTTACGGCCCTTTGTCAATCCACTGCTCAATGAAGGCCTCACAGCGCCATGCAGGTCGTTCCTGGGTAATTTGACCATACTTCACCACGCTGGGTCATTGCGGGTGGGTGAAAGTGGGTGGCGAATAGATGTAGGAGCATAGAAGTGGAGTGCAACAACTGATATTGCTGCATATGCCCGCTATGGGTGGTGGTCACCCTTCCAAGCACCATCTAGGCTCAAGTCTGCTTAGCTTCCGAGATGTTGACAGGATTAAGTGGAATCCGAGCAATTTGTTCAAAGGCCAAT